TTCGCTTTTTTCCGCGTTCATAGTTTTGTGTTCCTCCTCCTACACAACATCACAATCGGCGGTGCGCGAGACACATTTGATAAATAAATCATTTTGACCGGAACTTTACTTACTAAAATTTGCTCCCGTTCCGCTCCGTAGTGAAATCACTCTTAAGTTTTTTCGTCTGCTTTATAACCAGTTCGTTTGTTTTGAAAAAGCCAGACAGTCATTGTTGTAGTTCTATTGCAGTTGTGTTTGGAAAAATCTCTAGAATTTTCTGGAAAATATCTATGGGATAATTTTTGCCAAATCTCAATCCATACTTCTTCATATTCCTTTGATGCTGGCCTGCGGCAATTGTGACCTTTAGATTTAGAGACAAAATTGGTGGTGTTGATTACGGTATGGGTACTGTAGAGTACCGTAGAGTACTGTCCTTTATTCTCGCTTTAGATCACTTGAAAGAAATCAGTGATCAGTTTGTGGGCTTCAGAGATGATGAATACTGTAGTCCTGTATTGACACTGTAGGACTACTGTAGCTCTTTATTCCTTCTTGCTCAATAGTTACTTTGTGGAGAAAAATCTGGGACTTTCACGCTGATTACTGTATGGATACTGTAGGAATACTTTGGCTCGCTTGATCGTGTATTCAAAGAGACAATTTGCGACCTTTAGACACTAAATGAACACTCTAGATTTTTGTATGAATACTGTAGAATTACTGTAGTCTCGAAAGAATTACGTGAGGGTGTTGCAAGATGCAATGGGATTTTCTTCATTTCGTCTCTTCATTTGTTTCTCACTTGATCTTAGGGGATTTGTATCTATCTGATTTCCAGTGCTGCTCGCCTATGCATGATTCTATTCCAGTACATTCCTTTATTTTTTCCAAAATTCTGTTTTGCGCAAAATTTTTTTCCAACCGGAAATGTGCGCTAGAAGTTTTTTCCAGAACCGCTTTTGCTATCCCATTTGGTGGCTTATAAATCCCCTACGCTTGCTTCGCTGTCACATCTGCTCTGCGCCAAAGAAAAATTGCCGAAAAACCCCTTATCTGCGGCGCATTTCGATCGCTTAGCCCCCAGATGTGTGGCAAAGAGGAACTGGATGTGCACCGGAAACCCGGAACTGAATCGGGTTCCCAGTGGGTACTGGTTACTGAATGATTGATGTGTGGGTGTCAGCGTTAGCGAAGTGGATCATACTATACCGGGTCGTGATTTTTATCGGTCTGATCGGTTAGGGGGTTTCGAAATGAACTTTGGGTACAAAGTGGGTGACGTGCAGAGACCTTGTACTGTGATTTGTTTCGAATCTTTTGTGTGTGACTAGTTTTGGGCAAGGAAGGGGTGGGCTGAATGAAATTGATTGAGTGGGCATGACTTTTGATAAATACTTGCTGGGAGAAGATGTGGCATAGCACTTCCGTTAATGATTTTCTCATCACAAGGCTATGGAAGTCATTGTTCTAATTGCCAGTCGATAAAGTCCGTAATTTCAGACCTCGACCGCCAATTTTGACACCACCTGATGCTGAAGATGCGCATTTTTCCCTGGTCGACATAACCCCCGGTCAACATCCGAAATTTGTCGGTGACGTACCCAGACGAACGCATAAAATTGGTGAGACTTGAATTGATTAGGTTTTTCGTCTTCAAACGTCATGTTATGTGTTTTTTCTGCAGGCCAACTCCAGCCACCACCACTTGCCCCACGAAAAGGACAACGTGCGGTGTCAACAGCACCATCGTCAGCGTTAACCTCACCTGCACCATCCACGGCTCCACCCTTGTACCCACGACGAGTACCGGTAAACTCGTCCCCATCAAGTCGATCTCCGCAAACACCTGTCAGGATGTCGGGAGGTTGGTGCCAGTTCTATTGTTCCATAGGCTGTAGTTACATGTGAGTAAAGAGTCCCCTTGGACTACTGGTCCTGACGCGCTATGCCACGGCGCGTGCGAAAGGACCAGTAGTGGCGCAGGGGCGGTGCCCATCGGCGGTATATGTTTGCCCCAAACGAAAAAATATGCCTTTATTGTGTTTTTTGGCCCCTATGACCTCATTGTTCTTGTTTCAGATCACGCCCCACAAGCTTTTGTGTTTCCAACTGTGGATTCACCGCCACCGCCTGCACTTCCGCCGCGTCATTCCGCAACTGGTTCGACATCAACCACACCTGGAGCTATGTCCATGAATAATGAACAATTGCGAGTAGTTTTGGACAGGTAAGGGAATTTTTGAGGATTTTGATGGGAGATTGTTGAATTTGGTTCAAAATGAAGTGTTTTTAGGCCATCCAGTGAATCAAGTTCACCGACAGTATGTTTATCCGTACCGTTGCCACCAGCGCTACCACCTCGACGTGGTACGGCCGCGCAACAAACTCCACCGCCGTTACCGCCAAAAACGTGAGTGCGATTTTTCATTATTGAATTTTTTATCTATCCAAAATTTAAATGGCGCTATCCATCCAAATTCGAATCTGG